GAATCAATAAATTTCATCAAATTGAGATAAACACGGATCAAATCAACCTAAAAAAAACATACCCATTAGCATAGAAACTTAAAAAAACGTGTCCAAATTATTCAAAACTGAAACTAAGCAATCAAAATCATTGACCAGATTGAAAAAAATAAATAAACCCCAAAAAAATGGAAAACGAGGCATACCTCGAGAGAGCAACCAATAGTGATAACAACAGCAGCTGTGAGATAAGAGCGGGTGATACCGGCATCTGCTTATACCATTCTTCAATGGCTTGAGCCATTTTCTTTTAATTTTACAAAATAAAAGAGAGCTCCTTCTTGAAATTTCTACAATAATACAAAAGAACCAAAATAATCGAAATGCTAATTCGATCAAATTGCTTAATTGATTTTCACTTTGTTTTGGGGGGGATTGAAGATCGAAACAGATTCTTTTTTCCCTTTCGGATAAACGAGATCTTCTTTTTGAAAGAAGCAAGAAGAAGAAACGGATTGTGAAAGGGCATAGAACATATAATAGCTGTAATGTTTTTGTTTAATGACAAATGCAACGCGAATCAGAATGCGCGTGGCGGGTACGAACCACCGGAATTGCTTTTTGGTGGGGATTAATAACTTGTAGGTAATCGCTCCTAGTGTTAAAATGAGACGAGATAGATTATAAATTATTCGAGATTAATTTGTTTAAAATTTATAAATATAAATTTAAATGGGTTTGACTCGAGTTCTTAACGAGTCGAAACAAATTATTGATATTTGATTTGAAAAGTCGTGAGCAAAAAATATAATATATTAATATTTTATTTTTTAAAAAAATAAAATTATTAATAATATTAAATTTATGTGTTGAATTATTTAAAAAAAATGTTGTATAAGGTTTTTATATATTTAAGATTCAGGTTCAAGTTTAAGTTTGAGGTTTTAATAGAGTTAAGTTAAATATTTTTTTTATTTCGAGCTTTTTCGAACTTTTATGAACTTCAGTTCATGATTTCGAATTTGAGTCGTGCTTAAAAATTTTAGGATCGAGAGTTTTCGAGTCGGATTTTATTTCAGAATTTACAAGTTGAATCGAACTCAACAATTCTCAAACTCGACTCGTTTAGAACTCCTTATGCAAGGCCATACTCCCTTTCAACTCATGAATTTTAGTTTCATTGTGTGATTTAATTTTTTATTTAATCAGATATAAAATATTTACGAAATGAAGATACACAGTGGATGTACGGAACAATTTAATTTGTGCAATTTTTTCTTCTTCTTTTTTTTTTCCCTGCGTAGCGATGAATACTATGAAATTCAGTTTATAAAAAAAGGGTAAATTACAATTTCAAACTTTACTTTCTCTCCTATTTTGTTACTATATTTTTAATTTTTTTATTTTACTCACTGAATTTTACAGATTGAATCATTTTACTCATTATGTTATTAACTTTTTAACGGTGTTATGAGATGATACAAACATCAAAATGACATTGTATTGAAAATTCAAATATACACCAAATCGACGTCGTTTCGAATTCTCTTCTTTCCCCCCATCACGTCATTTTTCATTCCGACCATCGTCGACCGTCATTGATGGAAGTCATGCGATCCCAAAATTCATAGGTCAATTCATCTCGACCCTCTGAGTTCGAATCTGGTAGTTACTTCACCGGAAAATATCTCAAAATCCATGAATATCAACTTAAACTTTTCTATTTCCTCACTTTCAATCTCCGATTCGTAGACTTCGAAGCAAGTTGCGAAAAAATAAAGGTCGAATTCGGGCTCAAAGTATCGAGACGAAACGACCCATGAAATTTAGACTGAACGGTAAAACTTGTAGCGTCAATTTTTCAAGTTAACATTAAAACTTTTTGAGAATTGAAATAGTGGCACAATATGATCCACATAAAGGAACCCTAGAAATCAGCGAAGGCTAGTTTGATGAGCTAAAATAAGATTGAATCTACATACTTACGCCAACTCTTAAATTGCAGGTATGGCAACAGCCTATTCTCTGAAATGATGTGAAGAACTTGCGGCTTCGGGTGCAATCGACATTATACCTAACAGATTTGCTCGGCCAGTCGGACCATCCCCGATCAGGAGGTTCTAAAGCACTCATAAACCTTGCTCGTCATCCGCATTTGACCGAAGTGCTATCAACACTCCTCCATCGGTAGACACAATCTTATGGGAAATGCTAAGGTTTTACTACTTCCCCCTAATTCAAGATAATGCTACATATTATGTTTGTTTGTTTCTGATTTCGCTATAATTTATTGCTTCCGAGATCCCGAAGAAGATATGTTCGAATCCGAAAGCTGCACAAAGGTTCCCTGCTCTTTTGAAGAGATACACAATCTTGTTGAAGAACTTTCAAGGAAATTAAACATTGAAAAAAGGTTAAGATTCTTTAACCATGAAGCTTGTTTCCTTCAGAAACCCTTTCTACCATAACTTATGTTCCTTGTCCTACAGGAATCCTTGTACTGTTGCCCTAAAAGAGATCGCAAATAGTTATCGAATCCAGTAATCATCAAATCTGTTTGCAAATGTCGACATTGAAAATGTGTTATATGTGACTGATTCAGATTCTACTCATTGAAATGAAAATGTTTTGAATTGTGGGAGATGCACACTGTATATAAAGCTGGCAACCAGTGAGCATGTCTTCATTTCATCTTGAAACCGGTACCTAGTTACTAATCGGCAAGCATAGCTTCATTTTATCTTAAAACTGTGCAGATATGTTTTTTCACAAACATCAAAAAGAGTAATTTGATTGAATTATAGTGCAGAAGCAAAGCCCAGATGGAGCAGTTTTATACAAACTTAAGTATACAACAAACCTTCGCATAAGGACTTCAATCTGGTTTCTTCAAGTTCAGACAATTATCTGCCGCTTGACTGAATAACTCCTGAACCTGTTTCAATTCCTTTTCTGGAAACAAAAACAAGGAAACATTGTACAGATAGTTAAGATGGAACCTTTCTTCGGAAGTATAGTCTAGAATCTACATCCACAACTTCAACTCAGGGAACTCGATTCTCCAGTCGTACCTACATGGTTAACTTCCAAGACATATACGCTGGAGCAACATATATAGCAGTTGAAATCGAACTAAAAAGGTCGGGGAACGACCAAACAAAGCTAACATCCTCCTCCTTATATACATCACAAAAAGCCAGAATCTAAGCAAACATGGCAACTATTGTCTAGGTCTTAAATATGTACTACACCTAATTAGTATTATTTTCATAACCATCTTTCCCTTTCTCTTTGTTCATTAAGGAGGCAGAAACTGGGAGAAAAGTCACTCTGTTGCTATCACCTAAGAACATGTAAGATGATTTTATTGCCAGGACTATCCGATTTTCTTGAAGTACTCCGGATAAAGATTCGGTACAGATATACGATTCATACAAAGTATCCAACACACAATCATGTTAGAATAACAAAGGATGTGGAAAAAAATGTACCTGCAGCCTCCAGTTGCTTCTGAAGTTCTTGACCCACAGCATCATTTTCAGCCTGGAAGACAAATGAAGAAAACAAAAACGACAATCAAAACAAAGAAATTCCAACATGAAATTCAGAAACGAATAAACAATTGGAGACTCTTTATATTTACTTGTAGTTCAGCAATCCTTCTAAGCTGAGCTTCTTCACCTCCCTCCGAAGGCGGAAGCGCAGCAACCAACGCATCAAACTGTGGAAAACAAAGAAGAAAATACCAGAAACAAAAATCATTTGACATTCCCACACAATATCTAATCATTGAATTCACCCATTCTCACCTGTTTAGCGGCCTTGACAAGAGTGGCGCTCATAAGCTTAGGTTGTTCGGCGAAATTGGTTGGGTCCTCGGTGGGATTGGGAGGCGGTTCCGGGTAATTAGAGGAGAGTCTAACGGGTGGAGCATCTCGTTGCAGTGTACCGAAAGTGTTGAAAGCTAGGGCTGCTATTGAATTCACTTGTTCTTGTAATTGGGAAATGATATCCATCTTCTTCAAGAGAAAACCCACATATTATGAAAAGGCTTTGCGGATGTTAACTTCAATGAATTCGTCTTGAAGCTTCGTAAACTGTTTGAATCTGAAAACCCAGTTGAATCTTGAAGGGGGGGGGGGAATCAATTAAAAGGACAGAGGAGGAGTCATTTGGGCCGGGCTTTCAGCTTACATAAAATTTTCTGCTCTTGACCCAATGGAATCATGTATAGGTCATACCCTTCCATATATTTTGGTGAACTATGCATTTAGTATATAAACTATCAGTTTTGATATGTTTTAATATCTAAACTTTTAATTTTTTCAAGTTATATCTAACGTTTAGTTTTTGTTCATTTTAGTGTCCGCCGTTAAAAACTTAACGTGTTTAGTACCTAAACTATCATTTTAGTATTTAAGTACCTAAACTTTCAATTCAAAACTCAACGTTAAACTAAAATGAAACAAAAGGTTTTGACAAAATTAAAAATTTAAGTACTAAAATGGACCAAAACTAATAGTTTAGGTACTAAAAAGTAATTTACCCTACTATTTTTTCCAAAAAATAATAAATTTGGCTTTTTTTTTGGCTAAAAAATTCATACAGGATAAAAAATTAGGGGAATACAAAGTTAGGGAAAATATTTACAATCTAAGTGATTGTTAGAGTAGATAAAAACTATAGATACATAAAAAATTATAATTAAATCCTAAATCCTAAACCCGATCCATATAAATCAAGTAACTTTAATGGTTAAGTGACATGTTATTATCCCGACCAATATGAATCAAAATTAGAGGATAAAAGCCTTGTTATTATCCCTAAAGATCTTGAGTTCAAGCACCAAGTATGGAGATATCTAAATTAACCGTTTGCTTTAAACCCTAAAAACCTAAATTTTATAGAGAAAACCAACCTTATCATATCAGATGGAATCAAAATCAGACAGATTTTCCTTTTTTTGCCATCCCCAGCAAGCATGAGAATGGTTAATGAAGTAGAAATGAGAGAAGTTAAAATGTAAAATGCAGAGAGTATCCATCACAAATAAATCCAAATTAGACAGAGTGCTTATCTAAATTAAGCATTTGCTTTCAACCCTAATCTACTCTATCTTTCATGCTCATCCTGTTTCCGCCTTTAATTTCCAGAACTCCAAAACCATGCATGTGGTGTTGGAATGGCATCTTTGGCATTAGACTCCACACTGTAAGTTTCGGCAGTCATTGTGGAACTGTTAACTTCTGGGACAACTATTGTCGGAAGAACGAATTCTTCAGCAGCAGACTCGGGTTCAAGCGGAGTAGTTTCTTCCCCGAATATCATTATTGGTAGGCTGGTCATGGATGCAGAAAAAGGAGCTGTTGCCGTAGTTGTAATATCGTCGCTTGCAGATAAACCATCCATGCGAGACGTGTTAGCTCCATTTTTAATCTTCTGAGCAAGCTCCAATCGAGTATCCTCGAAATATCAATATCTTGCCTTGATGAAGCCTTTTTGTCAAGCTTGTTGATCCCGGTGTCACAAGCCATAGTTTGAAGTTCGGGTTCAAAAACTCCGGGACTCTTGCTATCAACACCAAGACGTTTCACATCATCATGAACCAATTTCTTTGGCTTAAGATCAGGACTCGTGGCTTTTATAGCCTCAGTAGCTGACAAAGTAGTAGCAACATTTGCAGACACAAGCTCGGATGCTTTAGGAGCTTCTACATTAGCATTTGGCCCTTCAAATCGCTGCAGTGACAGATGCAGTCCGACAGCTTTCTCATATGCAATCGAGAATCAAAGATTTGTTCTTGCATGACCCTTTGTCCTAGGGATAGAACAGTTTCATTTATTGGCAAGTTACTAGCTGGAGGAACGAGAACAGAGGCAGATTGGCTCTCACTAACAACCGAGAAACCAGGCTGAAGCCCAGTATGTAGACCTTGGTTTGAAATGTTAGATGCGCCATTTTTTCGCTCGATGGGCTTCTCACTTTTCCCCGATGGAGGACTCACAACATGGAGACGACCTTGAATGTTTACAAACGGAATAGGAATATCTTTTCTTTTGTACATCTTAGCATGTGGAGCCACATCGTTTGCACCAGTAACAGGAGCAACTAGCCCCGGTAGAAAAACAACACCTCTGAGATGTAGATTGGTATCAGCTACCTTAACATTAAGAAGATACCCGGCATCAAATGATCCTTCTACGACACCAGAAACCATCTGACCTAACATGTCAGTAGAGGCAGGGTTACCTATCCACATACTTCGCTTGTTTCTGTTCAGATTGTCAGTTTCGGGTGTTGCAGGTGTGTTGCCCCCTTGAACACTCCCGTCCTCCCATGGACGCCTACGCTTCAGCTTCGCAGGGGGGTCTGCAGAGAAAGATAAGCTAGCCCCTTGATTCTGGAAGCTCATCCTGCAAAATGGATGCACAATTTATACTGTCGTATCATAATTCCTTTCGCAACATTTTACATGCAATTGGAAAAGAATTAGAAATCTTATCATCAATGACCACACAAGAACTGAGTGCATTAGGAAAACGGTCAGCCATATTTCACAATAACCAAAGTATAACAAACTATATCAAGAACATAATACAGCCCATTGATGCAACAGGCAAGTGTTCTTGGAGTAGACTCGGGTTCTGATGACTCGGGTTCTGATCTAAAAATTTGATATTGATATGTCCTCAATGCCATATAGAAATTATAGTGTTTGAATTTTCACAAAGGCTCAATACTAGAAATGGAGTATTCAATGAAAGAGCTATCGACTAAGACATGCATGTCACAAAGATCATCTATGTAATGGTTAGGTTAAAAACAAGAGCTGTGACATTCTTCACATTACTAATAGAGCAAACATGAAACCAAGAAAAAACCCGAAACCATCGACAAAATATGGGGAAAATCACAAATGCCAACCAAGGCCGAATCAGACAGCTCTAAAGGTCGTGTATATAAAACAGTGCAGACCAGATTCTACATTTTAAGTGAGCAACCTTCCCATTTACAACAACACCATATTATCTTGGAATAAAAGGTAGCCCAAATCTGAAGAAAATTTGGGGCTAAAGCATATAAAATCAGCAATTGACACATTTCAAAATCCCAGATTTTTATAGTGAAAAAATGGAACAATGGGTACAAATATTAAAGAAAATGGTGTATTGTTTTAACATTCCTAAGAGGCTGATGTATCTGGTGATTTCAGCTAAGTTATGAACTAACCCACAATCCCAAATATAAATCTCTTACTCAACCAATAATCATAAGAAAAAACACTAATAAAATGTGTTTATTTCACAAATTTCCATCAGGAACGAACAGTTAACGCGATGGTTTGTTTTATAGAAAAGGTACAGTTTTTACATGGGAAAAAGGACAGAAAAGGAGAAGAGAAGAAGGATAAGGTACCTTTGTCTTGTAGGAGACTCCGAATTACCTGTGAGAAAAAAATGGGTGATGAGGATGAAATCGATAAACAACCCCATATTTTACCGATTTCATTAGTTACTTTTACCCAGATTTTGTTTGGTTCGAGTAATTGTGTAATGGGCCTGAAATGGGTCAATCGATAAGCTCAAAAATTAAAAGAAAATGTAAATACACACCTGGTGGGACTCGCTGAATCGTCTGATTAGAAGTCAGACTCCCACAGGTGCTTCGTTGATCGGTTTACAATAGTTCATTATAATCATTTGAACACTGTGCATGAGTTTGTTCCAATCATATTTCTAACCGATACATGAGTTTGTTCTAATCATATTTCTAACCGATACATGAGTTGAAGCTCGACGAATCTGTGGGTTGAGCAAGATGAAGACCTTTATCAATTCAGGCCGTTTTGGATAAACATCTGATAATATTAAGTTGTTTAAGGTTTTTGGAACTTTACAGCTTATTGATCAGATAAATTGATGTCATGATTGTATCCAGCACGTATCTAACACTTTTGAACCCTCTTTGAACAGCGTTCGTTCTTCATGGTTTTAGCAGCTAAAGATTTATGTACATAAATTCTCATTTCCCTCGCATATGTTTATGTAATAATGGTCGTGAATTACCAAATCCCGGTGTAAGATTCTATGGCATCACATCTCCTAGCCTGTCACCCACCCCTCTACCGTAAATTTATCGAGGCAGTGTCAACTTCCTGTGGGTGGTATTTGGATAGCTAATGATTTGATTTACACGGTGTAGTTTAATGCTGCAAATGCAATGCACAACCGCCGCCGTCGTAGTCAGCAGCAGCAGCATTCAACTTGAAAATAATGAGTATTATCTCTAACACTTCGATTAAATCTAATGTCGAATCGAGACTAACTAAACCTAAAATGAAAAGCAAAACTTTGCCTATGAACTATTGATCCAACAAATGTTAGGTTTAGGATATTAAAAGTTGACATTTCTAACACTTGGTACTATTGAAAACAACCATGTGAAAATGAAAGGGTCACACTTCCACAACTGCAGACAGTGCACCACTGCACATTCATGTGAAATGAGTGTGAAAACATTAATGCATTGCCCAACAGCATTTACAAGTCTCTGCAACACCACCTCAAGCACAATCCAAGGACACAACTGAAGCAGGTTTGCCTCAAATGCCGTCTGAATGCGACCCTCAGATGTCGAAATCATGATCCCTTCTCATGCCTTAAATGCAGTAAAACTATATATACACTATGACCTCATACCGATGTCTTACGATCTAAGCAACAAAGATGACTGAAACAAAGCTTGTTGAACCAATCCAACATGTCTATAGGCCATAGCTCTCAAGGAATGGAGTAAAATTCTCATAAAATCTCTAATCAAAATTTACATGGTATGATCAAATACTTGTATAGATACAAGTTTCTTTTTACAAAATATTATTACAGACAACATGCAATAATCGTCAATTACTATGATCAGATGCATGAACTTGAACTTGAGTCGGTACCTGGTTGAGCATTGCCACTGATTAAACTTTCCATTAACAGGGGATCGTGTCCGTATCACTGTAAAACTTGGTTAAAGAAGGCTGACACTATATCATGCAGTTATGGATAAAGATTGAATCGACTTTGAAAAACTAGAACTGTAAGAGCATCATTATGGTCATCGAAGAAACAATGAGAAGATAAACCGCGACGTACTTATTGTAAAGACCTGCATAAGAGAGAGTGGCTGCTGAGTGAGCGAGAGAGAGGCAAAGACCACAATTAAAATTCGATAAGTTTGAGTTGTAACTTTATTCAAATATTATTCTGTCAACCCTATGTTCGACCAACGTATCTCAGCAATGCATCAATTAAACAATTAGAGTCTGCTCGTCTCAAAGTGATTACAGTTATTTGAGTAAATCAGTGCGTTTCTTACCACTTTGTGCATTTGTTGCTGCAGGTAGTGCAGGGATTCTTACAGCTGCATGCCAAAAATCCAGGTGAAATAAATAATAGAGACAAGAGAAGGAAAGAAGTAACATGTTAATATGAAATCGTTTTATAATATGGACTACCACTGTGAGTACCTACTTTTGTTGCATGATGAAGCTGGCAAAAGCGATGGATTTGGCCATGGAGCTGGAATATTATCATTCAGATCACAAATGAAACTGATTCCAGAGAACTTGTCAAATGTCGCATCAGAGGGCAAGCTTGGCAGGAGGCATCCGGATACTAAAAGCAGTTGAAAAAAAAACACATGTTAGAAAATCCACACCATATGAGCAAGTTAAAGAAATTATAAGTAACAATTAGAATGATATAGATGTTGGAAAACTTTAAAGTGCACGAAATAGGAACAAATTCCGTGTAGCTAAAAGCAAGATTACGCAGCCAATTATGAAGGGAGTAAACATCTTACCCTGATTTCCAACTGTTGCATACAAGTTGTTGGTAATCGGTGTCAAAATCGATCATGGCGGCAGAAAGAAAAAGAATCTAGTGTTAGTACCAGTTCAAAATTATCATATGAAGATCACTTCGTTTTGCTCATTCCAGGTACATCAAAATACAAAACCAACCTTGAAGGGAGAAATCCTTGAGGCTTAAGTGACATAAGCTATATACATTTTTGGTGATATTGTATTTCTGTAACTTCAACCCGAGGGAGGTAGCACAATCCAAAGCTTGTAAGTTGGTGACAAGGGTCTGCTTTTGCAAGTGAGAGACATAGCTATCCATAGCATCACAACATGTTGTCGGGTTACTTATTCCATTTCCACAGCTGTTCGCAACATGCTTCATATTGGGGAAAACAAGAGGGCAAACTGAAGGAGAAAACATAAGAAAAGAACTTAAATATGTAGTCAAAGACGTAAGAAAAACTCCTATGCTGCTCGATATCCAAAGGGATGTTCTTATATGCATTAATCAGACGGCAAGAGGTGAATTCTAATCTTAGAATATAACACGTTAATTAGGGGAAATTTGAAACCCACCTTTGTTAACATTGCAATTGGTTAGTCCTCTAAGAATTTCCTTTGCATGATAAGGGCCAAGTTTACTTGCCAGCCACCGAAGGACAATAGTTTTACAATCATTTACCCTCGTCGACTGTTCAGGTAAAACCTGGGGCCCATCCATGCTCAAAGGATCAGAAGCTTTTAGTGCAAGTCTAGTTGCAGCATCCGATATGGTACCTTGACAAACTTGGTCACAACATTCTTTCACAGGATCAATCTTTTCACATGAAGCAAGAAGCTCAGACGAATTTACAGTGTTCTCGAACTCATCATCTTTTACTGGGCAAGACGCTTCAGTGAGGTTTGATGGATGAATTGAGCAAACCTGCTTGAGATTTTCACCAGCACCCTGGCCTTCTAAAATTTGCTCAATATCTGAGAGACAAGGTTTGGCGAGGGTCCTGTTTAAAGCAAGCACACCAGTCTCTTTACTTAATTGACCAATGAGTATCACGAGAGTTGCAAGTAGCTGTGGACAACATATTACATTTGCTAACAATGGAGCAAATGCAGCCCAACAATCGATTGAGGTCATGATCATCAAATCTTGTGCAGCAGTGAAATTTAATATACAGAGTCCTACAAAAGGCCAAGTGCAAAATATAATTAGACACTTAAATCCCAACTGTTTTCAGATTCCATTATGCCCAACCATGTAAAAAGTACCTGATAGTTTCGGGATAGTACTATTTGTGAAGGGCGTCAATGGGGAGGGTGCAAGAAGAGGAAGAAATGGCTGAGGAGATGCACTCGGAGTAATTGCAGGTAAAAAAGCATCAGCTCTCCTCTCTGTTAACATATAACTTTTAAGATGATCTGTTGGGCTGGATAAACATTCATGGAAGCCTGAAATGAGAGCAAGGAAAAACATACCACACTCTTTAGCAAGATAATCTGACGAATAAAAAATAAACTTTTCTGTTTTCCACACATGATATAACTATATAAGTAAATATTCGTCTATGACATCCAACCACAAAAGGAAAGAAAAAGGATAGAAATCTACAAAACATATTCAATGCTTGAGAATTGCTACACTTAAGATCATAACTCATATAAAGCTTAATGCTTACACCTTAAACTATTGCTTTGTATTGGTCGCAATGGCAACGTCAATGATAAGACGCCTCTGATGTATGTTCATCGTATGTCAAACTATAACGTTTCCCACTTTTCCCCACCTATCTGTTTTACTCGTTCTAACATGAATAAAAGACATTTACAATTAGTCGAAGGATCTCAAACACCTTTATGGTCAACCTTCCTGTGAATGTCTAAGGAGGTATACCGAAATCAAGACCAATACATTTCTAAGCACTAGTTTTGCTAAAGTACCTCAAAGGGTTTTCTAAGATAGCTATATCCTTGTTCACGAAGCAATCATCATAAATGCTTAAACAATTTTTTTAAACACCTATAAGAATTATCTGTGGTAAACAATTACAAAAACACAGATTGGCAAGTATTCATCAGCAAAATAAATCACTAGCAACCACAACCACAATTTAGTACTAGTCAACCACACATTACCATTTCATTTTCCTTTTATCATATTAATAGTGCCTAAACCCAATAACACTATATCACATTTAACATAGAAAACAAAGCATTCAAGGTTTGTAACACTAAAAGAGTATCAAAGTAACAAATAATGCAAGAAAGGAGAGGCTCCATAAGTTAACACTTTTACAAGAAACTGCAGTGATATTTTCTACCAAGAAGAATCCATTTCCCTAGGTTCAAAAATAGAAAGTAAAACAACGGCCCAATCGCTCAAATTCTTAAAAACTAACAGATCGTGCTCAAATAAACCAAAACCAAAGAAGGAAACAAGTTGAAAACATCACCCACAGGCAAGAAACATAAGCAGCTCAATGAGTAACATGGTGAGACCGTGCTTGAGAGACACCCCGGCACTAATAATCTTCTTTTTTTTGCAACTTAAAACAAGGTTTGGCAAAACAAGGAAGAAAAACAAAGACCCAACAATTGTAAATAAGCTAGGGAATGTGAGGAACAAAAGGAAGAAGACATGGGAGAAAGAAGAAGAAGAAGAGAGGCGCCATGAATGAGCTTCCAAAGAATGGTGGGGACAAACAAAGAGGAAGAAAAATGAACAAAAAGGCCAGTTAGGAGTAATGAGTAATATGAAAATAGCTGTCCTATTGAGGGAGAGGAGACCCTACAATCGAAACTCACCCACTACTCTTTCAGTGCATTAACGCTATGTATTGCCTTTTCCCCCATTTTTCGAACTTCGTTTATTAAGGCATCTTTGACACGCGTGAGATGGTGTTGATCTCCGAGCATTGTAGGTTGTGGTCTGGCACGTGTCTCTATATTTATTGTCCACATACGCACACGAACACACGCACGCACACATAGATATATCTTTTAAATGTTTTTTTATTTAAATTTAGAATTTAATTCTTTTAAATTAGATAGGAAATTATAATCGAAAAAAAACAATTGTTAATTAATATTTTATTACAAGAAAATCGAAAGTAAAATAAAAGCATAATTCTCCGATTGATTTTAGAAAATATTTTTTTTTTCTTTTTTATTTTCAAAAAATAATTTTTATTTTTAATTTTTTTTAAAAATCAGAAAACATGTATGGTTAATATAAATGACATTTGAATTCAAAAATAAAATAGTAAAAATATATTTGGTATCTATTTTGTTTTAAATAGAAATGAATAAATAGTTATTAAATAATTAAATTACATACATTTAATATAATATAATGTTAATGCATATTGTACTTCAATTAAATTTATACAAAAATATAATTGTAAATAAGATGTTAGACTGTGAAAAAAAATATTTAATCCTTTTACCAACATAATCAAACCATCACAGCGCTTACATAATAGTTTACAAAGCTTACATGATAATCTACAATATTAATGTAATAGTTCATGGTGTTGTTGTGACAGTACATGATGAATGATGGTGTGGTAGATATGTTTAATTGATTTTTTTTTACTAAGTTTAAGGACCTAATTGATTTTTTTAGAAAGTTTGAGAACTTATTTAATTTTAAAAAAATTAAGGTATTATTTAAATTTAAAATATAAAAAATTATTAAGATATTCAATACACTAAATATAAAAATAATATAAAGTTAAATTATTTAAAAAATAGTTTAAGGACCACATCGAGTGTAAAAATGTTTAAGGACCATATTGATTATTTTGCAAAAGTTTGAGGATTTTAGATACCATTAAATCAAAAACATTATTGTTAGAATAATTTGAACTTGTGTAAGTTAAGTTAAAAACCATGACCTCATGTTTTCCTATTTTTCAAATTTTCAAAACAAAAAAATTAGCCGACCCTTATTCCCATATGTAATGGGGTAAGGGGAGGTAAGATAGTAGGATGCCCCCAACGCAGGTTGAGAGCAGCTTCCGTGGGAGACCTCCAAAACAATTTTAATGAAAATACCGAAAACATATTTTTTGTGTTTTCATATTTTCATTTGTTTTTGTTTTTATTTTCCAGAAATCATTTTCTAATTTTACACTCAAACACTTTTCTTCGATGTTTTCTATTTTCTACGAAAAAAATGAAATAACCTATATTTTCTAAAACCAAACGAAGGTTAAGTTTGTACAGATGTGAAGGGAAGGAATAGATAGATAGAGGATAATTAAATGAAGAACTCTTTTTGGATAATGATTGAGGTATATTTATACTAATTTTAACCTATGGTTAAATGTAGGATCGCTATAATTATTTACAAGTTAAGATTAAGCAAATTTTATTATTAAATTTTAGCTTTTATTTTCTCAATTAGAATGACATGAATAGTACACGATAAAAAATATATAAAATGTATGGTGTCTTTGGGAAGACGTCCGAAAAACAATGTATCTTTCTAAAAATGCATGTCTAAGAGAGTAACAAAGGGAAGAGACATTATCTTTCGTACGTCTTCTCAATGATGTCATGTAAATTCTACATCCTTGGTCGTGTAATGTTTATATCATTCTAATCGAGAAAATAATTCTTTCGATATTCTATATCAACCAATTTTTTTAACACTCCATCTAAATAATTTTGTTATATATATATATATGAGGGTTTTTTTAGAGAGGAAGATTTGAGGTAGTGGAGAAAGATATATGACAAAAGGGACGGTGGTGACAGTGGATCAAATAATCATATTCGTAACGTTTGAATTTGAACTTTTAATCTTATCTACGACAATAGTTAAGACGGATAATTTGAACTTTTAATTGTAACCCAGATGAAGTCATTGAATTGCATGCCTACTTGGTGCTTAAAAGAGTGGTTCCTTGCGGACCAATATACCAGGCTCGTTAGCTGTGTTATGCTACGTGAAATCTATGCTTTTCCTCATAAGGTGAAGGATGACAGTAAAGGCTTTTACATTAAACCATGCTGATGAGACAAATGGATTACGGTAGTAGAGTGACTCTTGGTTAGTGTTAAAGTATTTTGTCCACATGAGAAAGTAGAACATAGGAGAATAAGGGTGATGTAGTTTCATTAAGGTCACATCTTGTCATTCGGTTATGCTCAAAAGAGTTTACAAGATTAAAATGGTTGTTCGTATGCTAGCAGACTAAACGGATATAGTCATGTAGCGATGGATTTGGTTCTGGTAGGTCACATAGACCTGTCAGAAGTAATATAAGATAGTCGAGGCTTCTCGAGATTTAGAGTTTCAGGTCTTCCTTCAAGAGGCGTTCCCTCTATGTCGCCTAGAGTTTCATTGGTGCCGGAAATTCGAAAGTGTTTTAAAGGTTTTCGACGAATGTGGGACATGAGAATGGTGTGGGGTTTTTCACGGAGTGTAACACTCGAACATTTTCTCTATGTGCGTCGAAGTTTCTTTGACATCGATTAATCGGAATTGTTTTAAGATCCTCCAATTACTATGGGACACGAAACTAATGTGCGAAGGACCTTTGACATGTACAACTAACCTTTATCACACAAAAATCAGGGTAACATCAGGTAAATATTTGTAGCCATAGTTGAAGGAGTATCAAAATCCATGGAGTGGTATATGCCTTTCAGGGTAAGGAGCTTATCAATTTAGGATCCAAAACACAACCACTCAGAGCTAGCCACTTCAAATAAGGCCCCACCAAGATGAAAATGGTGTGTTGGGGGGGGGGGGGAATCAATGAACGAGAATGTTTCAAAATCCTTATCCCAAAACCTCATCCATTCCCTTCTTTTCCCTCCACTCGTTTCCCTCCGATTTCCACCATACCAGAAGAAAACAGCTCTCCAACACACACACAAAGATAAGACTTTACAAAACAAAAATCAAACACAAAGCCAATCCCTTGTAGGAAAAAGAACCTCTCCTCTTGCAACGAATCCGTTGTTCCACCATGTCTTGCTCAAATCTGACAATGTGGGTGTCTTCAAAACCTTCTCTTTCCGACACTTGTTCACTCTCCTTCCGTTCTTTCGTCACCCCGTTTCAGCTCCCGTCTCAAAGCTCAACTTCAATTAACCCTTCAAGGTCGTCTTCATCTTCGACCACGGTTCACTGCGGTCTCCGTGAGCTTAGGGACCGGATCGATTCCGTCAAGAACACGCAGAAGATCACCGAAGCGATGAAGCTCGTGGCTGCTGCTAAAGTCAGGAGAGCACAAGAAGCTGTCGTCAATGGCAGACCATTCTCCGAGTCGCTGGTTGAAGTCCTTTACAACATCAATGAACAGCTCCAGACAGAAGACGTCGATGTTCCTCTTACCAGCGTCAGGCCTGTAAAAAAAGTCGCCTTGGTCGTCGTCACCGGTGATCGTGGTCTTTGTGGAGGTTTCAACAATTATATCCTCAAGAAAGCCGAGGCAAGGATTGCTGAATTGAAGCAACTCGGACTGGATTACACGGTAATCAGTGTGGGGAAAAAGGGTAATTCGTATTTCATCCGCCGGCCTTATATTCCGGTCGACAGGTTCTTTGAAGGTAGTAATCTCCCTACAGCTAAAGAAGCTCAGGCGATTGCGGATGACGTGTTTTCACTCTTTGTCAGTGAAGAAGTCGATAAAGTCGAGCTTTTGTACACGAAATTCGTATCGTTGGTTAAGTCCAATCCGGTGATTCATACTTTGCTTCCACTGTCGCCGAAGGGAGAAATCTGTGACGTGAATGGCGTCTGCGTTGATGCAGCTGAGGATGAGTTCTTCAGGTTGACAACCAAGGAAGGGAAACTGACGGTGGAGAGAGATGTGATCAGAACACAGACCGCCGATTTCTCTCCGATTTTGCAGTTCGAGCAGGATCCGGTGCAGATTCTGGATGCTTTGTTGCCTCTTTATCTCAACAGTCAGGTTTTGAGGGCTTTGCAGGAATCATTAGCGAGTGAACTTGCGGCTAGGATGAGTGCCATGAGCAGTGCAAGTGATAATGCCCAGGAACTGAAAAAGTCCTTGTCCATCGTCTACAACCGGCAGCGTCAAGCGAAGATCACCGGGGAGATATTGGAGATCGTTGCCGGTGCCAATGCTTTGGTCTGATCAACTCGTACTTGCTTCGCCGTCGATTCTGTTTCGTTGTAGGTATTAAAAAGAAGCAATTTCCATATTCATTCCTATATACTTGTTTAAGAACAATCATGCTGATAAGATCTTTTTTTTTCATTTCTGCATTGTAATTCTAAAATGATTATCAACTCTATGCAGAATGAGAGCTGCAATGTGCTTTTGGAATAGATAAATAAGAGTATTTACCCATCTTCGTATCTTGTTTTCCCCTTCCAAGTATGAAGTATCGTACTTGTCTGGTCGCCGGAGATATATATTGCATGCAATAGATCATATTTGAGTCTTCACTTCATAAGTTATCTTTCATCGGGATATTGGACCCAGCCAGCCACATACTCAGCGGTGTCCTCTAAAAATTCAAAATTATCATATATTATAAATTCTTTTTATATAGTTTTTATTATAAATTTATTTTCGTTCTTGTAAAATTTTATAAGTTTTTCTTTCATTTATTATCGGGATAGACCAAATGAGGGACGGAAATATATAAAATTTTATGTTTGTCCATGACTTTTATAATTGAACTCGAGTTCCGGCTGCCGAGTACTTTACCGGTGCCGACTCCGAGTACTAGCAATTATGCTGCCTATGTCAGAAAACTAAAATGATCCGCGGTTCATTCAGACAAAAGCAGAACACATGATCTTGCATGACAATCGGAGATGTAGTAGTTTTACAATCGGAGAGAAATTCCTCTTCAACTTTGCACGACAATTTATATAAATATTCTTAATATTATTTTTCGAGTTTAAAATGATGATTACTCATAAATAAACAAAGTAAATATATTATTATATAATATAGTGAATTATTAACAAGATTGATAATGATCACTTCAAGAGATTATAACTGTCCGCAGCCACGGGTGCCGTAGCCCAAGATGTTGCATGCATGAGATTAACGTTGGAAAAATAATGGAGAAGAGAAGAAGAGGTTAAGGACTTTGATACATGATATATTTAACCTAACAACTTACTAATAAAAATAATAAAAATATCATATAAAGTAATATACATTTAATCTAAATCTAATGGATTAAACTTAATCTTATAGGATCAAATTTTTTAATTTGACTTTGAATCTGATCAAGTTGAAATTTCTTTAAGGGTAAGATCGAGTCATATTTGAGTTTAGGGTAAAAGAAATACGATTTAACCAGGAATTAATATTATAATTGACATTTATATATTTAAAAATAATTACTATAATATCCTCTCTATATTTTTTAATTATGTTTCTATTTTATCTAATATATATATATATATATATATATATATATATATATATATATATATCAAACCAAATCAAATATAAAAGTAAACTTTTATTTTAAAAAATCAAATTAAATTCGAATAAATAGAAAACTCGATGTGACCCTACATCACCATCTCTAACTAAAACCTAATATTTTCCTATCTCATTAAATCTGTCAATTATTGATTTTTTATATCAATTTTTTAACTTTGACTTATTATTATTTAAAATTTAGTATTGATAAAAGTATATCTTAAAAACTTTACATCGAGTAATTTTTAAATATATATTTTATAAAATTTGTTTGTTTAAAATATTTAAAATAAATCATAATCAAAACTTAAAATTTTAATCTTTAAAAAGTCAATAATACACACAATTAACCGATGGAGGGCTTCAAATTCCTATGTTGAAAGGAGGAGCAAATGATTTGGTAAAAGCCATGATCGGTGACATGGCACTCACAAAAATTATTAAAAATATACATATATTTATATACATATAATAAATAGGGTGAATTATATGTTTAATACTTAAACTAATACTTTTATTTTATTTTAGTATAAAAACTTTATTTTTTTAAAATCATACCTGACGTTTAGTTTAGTTTAAGTTTCATTTTAGTACTCTGTCATTAAAAACTTAACAATGATGTTGACGTAGCACCATAAGGTAGTTACACACTATCATTGAAAAATGTCACGTTAGCAATTTTATTAATTTTTAATGAAAAGATATCAAATTGAAACCTAAATTAAATGTTAGGTATGGTTTTGATGAATGAAAATTCATTTTCATTTGTTATTTATGATTTCAAGATAAAAAAAATCTTTGTATTTTTTATGTTTGATTGCTCGTCTTCTCTGAGTTGATGATTTTTTTTGTTGTCCTTCAGTTTTAAGGCTTTGTTCTGCCTATTTTAGACTAGCCTGGGTCGCACACCTAGTTTTGGTGGACGAATTTCTTAGCGGGTATTTTCTGCAAACACAAAGATTCGAACCTATGACTTTGCTTAAGCGATATTAAGCTGCTTACCACTTGAACCAACTCTCGTTGGCTTGAGTTGATGACTTTAATAAAGTTATCTAGTATTTACTTTTAATTCCATTTCAATTAAAGGTAAAATTTTAAAATATTTTTATTTATTTTTATAATTTTATTTCAAAATATTTGTATTTATTTTACGGGTTTATCTATAAAAAAATAAAAACTAAAACATAATTCTAGATAACATTATTATCGATCTATTTTTTTCTTTAAATTTTATATAAACAAATAAATTTAAAGGATTTATAAAATTTTATTTTGTTACGATATTTTGATATATAATAAAAAAAGTACTAAAATATTTCAATTGATATATACAATCTTTTTTAAAATAGCCCTCCAAACAGTAATGTTGAGTCTAGCGACTGACCATGATCCTTAAAATGATAAAATTTGAGTTTAGTCCCTTTAAAGTTTAAAATATTTAAATTAAGATAATATTAAAATTATATTTTAATTCTTTAAAATTTCATAATTTATTTATACCTTCAAGAAAAGTTTATGACTTCGTTCTTCCATATGTTTAGCGATAATTAAACTAATTTTTCAATCATCGTAAAATACGATGGCCAAAGTTTATTAAACTAAAGTAGGATTCAAATTCTTATATTATAATCTTTAGCGACTCACTTGGGAATAGAAAAACAGAGACTTTGGTTCGTATATAACAAAAATTATAATTTGATTTCAACCCGAGAAATTCTACAACATTCGACGAGCAACGATGAACACCACTAACGACGAGCACCATTAATTTAATTTATAAAAATTTAAACTATAAATGACTCAATGTATAATTATAAGTTAATTAAAAATTTAAAGATAAATTATTTAAAATAAAGAGTAAAATCATATCAGTGACCACCTAATTATTGTCCCTTTTCATTTTGATAAATATTTTTGAATTTTTATCAATCAGCTCACTCAACTATTTAAATGCATTCAATTAAGCCACTTGGCGTTAATATTTAATGGAGAAGCTGATGTGGCAGTTAAAATATTTGGTATAATTACACATTTGGTTACTATTACTTATATATTCTATTAATTTGATCATAATTTTAATAAATTAAAATAAACTTAACCCTCAGATCTTTCATTTTAAAATATTTTAAAAGTTACGACATATTCTATATTTATAACAAAACAAAAATTTTACTAGAAATTTCATTTATGGTTCTCAGAAGCCTCTCTTCAATGATATTGTAGCCTCTTTTGGTTTTAAGGAAGATATAGTTGATTAGCCCATGCATATAAAGTTCGTTGGACAAAATTTGTATCATACTACTATTTGTAAATGACATTCTACTAGAAAAAAAGGTGATATAGTCTGACCTGTAAAACAAAGAAATTTTATCCAGTAAATTTCTAATAAAAAAGTGTGACATATATTTCTTTCACATTTGCACAGTCTGTAACGGATTACACCAGTATGAAACACAGTCTACCGATAAGAGCGCTACATGGAACCACCGAAGTGGTTAAACAAAAATTTTCTTTATCATACTCGAAGGAAAAACATTCATTAATAATTATTTGTGATAAAATATACAATAACATTCATACAAAACAATTTACAGTCGGGAGCTCCCAAAAATATAGTTCAGAATGTACATACCATAATTTAAAATAAGTTATGACTCGACATACAAAATAAGGGTTTCAAATATACATGCCCTCTAAGAAGAAACTGAGACGTACTCTGCTCTGAAAATCTGAGTATGAATCTACTAAGCACAAAAGTTCTTCAAGTGCTCCACTTAAGAATATGCGTAAGGAAACAAATTCCAAACGCTAAGCTAACTAGCCCAGTGTCACACTAACAACTAAAACATACTAACAAGGGTTCAATTATAACATGCTCAAATAACTGATAAAAAGATATAATGAATCTATTTCATTTGTATCATTAGTGAGTATCCTTGTGATACCCACTTTCTAAGCTATGATAGACATTATGGTGCGACTGAGGGATCTCTACATCTCAGAGCTCAAACACTCCTCTAGTCTACCGAGGATGTGGCCCCCGTAATCTCTGCACCAGACACCACACCCTCGACTAGCCCACCCCTTACGAGTGTCGAACCTTGCACCCTAACTAGTCAGTTTAAAGTGCCTTGTGCACTCCCTAAGGATATTCAGACTGATTCTATACTTTCGACACTAATAGCTTTTCTAAAGGAATTCAAGTGTTCGAAATATTTCCTGAGCATCAAAACAGACTAGTCTTATGTCGCCCTAATTACTTTCATTTATATGTTTAATTATGTTTTATTATTGTTCTCACTTATAGTCTTATTTGAGAGTAATTAGAGCTTTTTGGGAAACTTATTAGCTTCTACAAAGCCTCTTAATTTATAGCCCAAAAAAAATTTGGTATCGATATTACCCATACAGTATCGATACTGCCTATCGGGCATTGATACCCTACTTGAGGTATCGATACCTCAGAACAAAACCCTTTTGTTTTAAAGAGGAAGTATCGATACACATATGGGGAGTATCGATACTCACTTGAGTACCGATACCAAAATGGCATTCTGAAAAATGGGTCTCGATACTAAGCATTTTGGTGTCGATACCGAACCCTCAATATCGATACCCCAAAAAAAGGGTATCGATACTACACTCACAATATTCATAATTTTAAACCTAAACAAGAATAGTATCGGTACTGATCCTTCTATTATCGATGCCCTCTATTAAAAAATGCCTTATTTGGGCACTTAAACTCACTCACATTGATCCCTAGAGGTTTTCAAATGTTCTTAGTGTCTTATGTGTTCAAGTAGGATCATAAATAGGGCTTTAGACATGCTTGTAACTTGAAAACATAGAATCTACCATTGATATACTCACCAAGCTTTAGTTTAAATCTTTATGCTACCAAGGACTGCATA